CATTGCTTCAGCATTATACTTCACCGCGATAGATTTTAACGGGCTGGTTACGCAGAACTACAACCAATATTAGACACAGAGCAAAACATTGCGTACGTAAATAGTAAATTTGTTATTCGCGTAATAAATATCTATGCACTTGAATAAAGAATTTAAGCTATAGTCTCAAAATGATTCATAACAAAGAATATTTGAGTGTCTGCAGTGCAGATTTTGCAGGAATAAATGCAGTGATATTAAATTAATGGTTGGAAGCACATTGTCTTCAATTTACATATTTCTATCATTTGTGATGAAACAAGGGCGTGTATAATTAGTGTTGAATCCAAAGCAGGGCTAGCGGCGATGTTTCATTTCAAGTAACGAACAGTCTACTGTATAGGAGTGATCTAGCCAGACATTCTCCTTTCCAAGTGTACTGAGTGCCATGATCAGTCTGGGACTGATTGCGAAACAAAAAAAATCCTGAGAGCATGATCATTTTAATGGCGCATGTGGGGACAAGCATAATGGACACAAATTGCTAATACCAGCAGGGCTTTTTCACATGCTACTGGCAAGATGGCAACGCCTTTCCTGCTGAGCAGATTTTCAGCTGTCACTAGTCATCCTATTCTTGAATCGTCTTCACACTGCCAGATTTCATATGGAGCATCCAACTTTGTCAGTTTCATTTTCCGATCACCTAGTTCTGCTAACACGCACAGGATGAACGTTATCCAGATGTTACAAAACAACAGAGTTCCTTTCATTCTCTTTGCTGAAAGACTCCGCATACTTTGGCATCCTACATTTTTGTCACTACATTTTCATCACACGGCACTTTTCTTACACTTATGATTTCTATCATGCATGAGTTCGGATGTCTTTTTAATGACATAAATCATTCCAATCAATGGACCATAGTTGTTTATATTGCATCAAAAAGGGGCCAGCCAAAATAGCCGCTTCTGCATTATTTTATCAATGATTATATGTTGTGATAACCACCTTGAAGCATCTGCTTAAGCAGAGTGCCTATGATGTGCGGCATTCGCAGTGTTCCTCGCTTCGCAATACCTTGCTCAAAGGAATTAGTCATTGCATAATGAGAGAAACCATTCCTCCACAGAATTCGATTTGCGTTTTCTTGCCAATCCGCACTGCATGCTCACCTACTGGTTAGCGTTTGTCGTCTTTATATTTTCGAACACAAAGCTTATGGTCTACAGAAAGTGAATAATGGTAAATTACTTTGTGTACTGCGCCAAAGTCTATTTGGTAACCTTGGCATCTACGCCTGGCCTGACATATGTGCCTAAACTACTACAGATTTGCTTAGTATATGCTCCTGACATTCAGTTCTCTATGCGTCGAAACAGACTTTATAAATAATATTCAACCGTAGTTCGTTGAAACAACTCCTTCCATGCTGCACATTAGCGCTGCTGGCGTTGTTGAGGTTAGAAACAAGCGAATTTCCATGGAAAGGGCTACCCTTTTGTCAGCCCAAGCATTGAACAGTTTACTAAAGGCAGTGGAAACCAAATGATCCTATTACGTAACAATGATCTGATGGATCTATGATATTTAAATCGGTCGAAAGATTCCACCGACTCATTTCTCCTTCACTGAAAATGTGCTTCGTCTGACTAAAGAATTAGTTAGTAATTTGACTTTCGCACGACTCAGTAGAGTCCGACTTTCGGAACTATGTGCAGCGAAAGCTGTTACATGGCGACACCTGCTTTCCGTGACAATTATAAGGATGATCGTCATACTGAGGTCAATAGGATAACCTGAATGGCGCCATTTTTCTAGAGTCAGAGCTTAGCGTTTGCCAAAGTAAACAATGCGCTGCAGGATAAATTCAAGAGCCTTGCTGGATAGTAAA